GGCCAGGTCAAATTTGGCGAAAATCTTGCCACCCCCCAGGGAAGCCAAAATGTGGCTTATTACCGGGACCGGGTACGAATGTTGCTGCAGCGCCTTGTTAATCGTACATTTGTAATCGGCGCATAGTCGTATGGACCCATCTGATTTGACAGGGGTTACGATCGGGGTCTCCCATTTGCTGTATGGTACTGGCTCTAAAACCCCTTGCTCAACTAGTTTGTCAATCTCTTTTTCCACCTTATGTTTGAGAGACACAGGTACTTTCCGATACTTCAACCTAATAGGTTTGACTGACGGATCTAAGTCAAACGCAACCGGGGGGCCCTTGTACCTTCCCAACCCTTCGGCAAATACATCAGGGAACAGGTCGTACAGCATGCCCCATTTATTTTCAGACATCCTGTTAATCCCAGAAATACCGATGCCCAATGGCTCAAACCAATCTAACCCTAGCAGGTTAACCCGGTCTCCCTCTGCAATCAGGAATGACAGTTTAACACATTTCCCCTTATACTCAACAGTAACAGAGTCCCGTCCGGCCAAGGGAATTCGGTTGCCCTGGAAGTCGGACACTCTGGTTCCCGCAGGCTGGAGCCGCCGCCGGCTTCGGTTCGGGAACAACTGGCGCCAGGACGCGGCAGAAATCACCGTCACGGACGATCCTGAGTCCACCTCCATTGTACAGGGTCGGCCGTCGAGGAGTGGAGTCACGGTGATCTTGCCCTGGCTGCTGGTGCGATTTACGGCCGATGCGCTCGACAAGGTCGCCGTCAACTGGCAGCTTGCTTCCGATGCTGAGGAACGGGTCTTGCCTTGGGTGCTGACTGGAGTGCCCCTCTGCGCTGACCGGTTGTTAGTTGAGGGATCCTTCTTCGCTGATCTGCAGACTCTGGCCAGATGACCACGCCGCCCACACGCTCTGCAGTCGACATCACGAGCCCAACAGGAGCCGCGCTGGTGCTTCCCGCCACAACCGGAGCAAGGCTTGACGTTGGTAGTCTTCGCTGGGGTCCGCTTGCCTCGAACCGCGTTGACGTCATCATCCGCGTCTTCGCCCTCGCTGTCTCGTTGAGCGTGTATACTGGGCTCTGCCACCCGCTGGCGGACCTCCTTCGTGGACTTCTCCGCTGCTTCCGCGGCCACGGCCTCTTCGTAGGCCACTGCCCAGGTCAGGGTGGTGCGGGCGAACAGCCTCTGTTGCAGCCTTTCATCTTTGAGACCGCAGACGAGACGGTCTCTGAGGGCTTCCTCCACGTTGTGGAAATTACATGGCCGTGCGGCTTTGCGAAGGGCCGCCACGAAATCTGCGATGGTCTCGCCTCCGGCCTGGTTCCGCTTGTAAAAAGCGTGCCGGCAGGCGATCTCCGACGGTTGTGGAGAATAGTGAGCCTTAAGCTTCTCCGTGATGTCAGCGTAGGTGACAGTCTTTATATCAGTTGGGGCCACCAACGACCTGGCTATGTCGAAGGTCCCCTTCCCGCAGGAACTCAGGAGGCATGCTCGTTTCTTCGCCTCATCGGTGATGTCGTGGGTCTCCAGATGGAACTCGAACCTGGACAGGTAGGAGTCCCAGTCTTCTGAGGAGGGTTCGAAGCACTCGAACTTCTGGCTTCCAGCCATCGGGGGAGACTTGGGCACCGGAGCTGGTGGCGCCTCCGCCGGATCGGCTGCTGTGCTCTGCCCGCTTTCTTCCGAGTCCGAAGTGTGGATGTCCGCAGGGCTGCCTACCTGCTCTAACATCCCATCCTCGTCGCCAATTGTTAGATCGCGCTAACAAAGGACTCGTACAGTGATTCAGCAAGTGATTCAGCTTTATTGGAAGTAACGAGCAAGCACTAACTCAGTAAGAAACCAGAACAGAAAACAGTGGGAGCTTATGCTCCTTTTAAACATAACCGGGCTAATGTAGCCACGCCTATTTACAAATAACAACCAATGAGATTGCTAGAATAAAGACCAATGGGAGTCTTTCCCTCCTAGGGAATGGTATCGTTCTGATTGGTCGCTGTTACGAAGCGACCAATAGGAAGTTCGCTCAGAGGAGCCCTGGTCTGGCTCGAAGCTTAACACGGGAGTCCTATGAGGTGATTCATGTAATCATTTCAATACATTACAATATTTAATTAATCTTATTGTTTTATATGCATTATTGTAACATGCCCTGGGCGTTGCTGTGCAGGGGAGGGCGGGCTAGAAATAATATAAATAAATAAATAAGGTAATATAGGCAGAATGGCCGTTTATGGATTCCACATGCTTCTAAGTACTGGCCTATGCAGCTGGCTTTCTGGACAGACTTGGCAAAGCATACTTCCCTATTCAGCGCTGTCTTTCTCTCCAGTCAAAAGGGTTTTCAGGTTGCTGGTGGCTGTGTTTGAGTTGCCATGGAATTTGAACCCATCTGGGGGCAGCCTTTGGGCTGGTGTCAGTTGCAGCTTTCCTGCAGCACGGGTGACTCCAGTGGCGGCAAGGGAAGAGTACAAACACAGCTCTGGATTGTTTTTTGCAGCTCAGTTGTGTGTTCCCTCTGGAAGAGTGTGGGATGAATGTCACAATATTCCAGTCTATCTCAATTTGTCAAGTGTGTTGTGAGGGCATTGTTGGTTAGTACAATTATGACTGGTGGGTGGCAACAGAATCACTAGGAGCTCTGGTGGAAATGCCGGTTAGTATTGCTCTTAACTTCTATTGCACATATTCCATTAGTTTAGCATACCAGTATTGTAGCAATTGCTTGGTGTGGCTTGTCTGTTTAATATAACATAGCCTAAGGCATTGGTCGTTCTCTCAGTAGTTAATCTACAGAATAAAAGGGAAACTCTGGCCTGCCTGGGCTGGGAGTCCCATCCTCTGATTTACAAGTCCTTCTGTATAATCTCTGAAGATAGTTCCAGTTGGTCAGCTGTATTGGTATGAAGCAGTAGAATGAATGTCGAGTCCAGTGGCACCTTTAAGACCAACAAAAGTTTATTTAAGTGTTGCATGCACACGCCTGTGCCCAGGGGACTTTGCCAGTGCCAGCCCCCCCCCAGAAGGTGGTTGAGACTTGGTCGCCGAGGGGTGAAGGGGGGAAGAGAGAGAATGAACTCTGAGGTGAGGGACTTCAGGAACCCAGAGAGGCAAGGTGCAAAAAGGGGAGAAGACCCATGGCCTGTGCCCAGGAGACTTTGCCAGTGCCACCTCCTTGCCCCAGAAGATAGTTGGAGACTTGGTTGCCAAGAGGCGAAGGGGGGATGAGAGAGAGAAGGAACTCTGAGGCGAGGGACTTCAGCCACTCAGGGTGGCAGGGTGCCGAAAGGGGAGAAGACCCACAATCTGTGCCCAGGGGACTTTGCCGGTGCCACCTCCCCGCCCCAGAAGGTGGTTTGAGACTTGGTCGCTGAGGGGCAAGGTGGGGGGGAGAGAGAAGGAACTCTGAGGGGAGGGACTTCACCAACCCAGGGAGGCGGGGTGCAGAAAGGGGAAAAGACTCACAGCCTGTGCCCAGAGGACTTTGCCAGTGCCACCTCCCCACCCCACTAGGTGGTTTGAGACTTGGTCGCCAAGGAGCGAAGGGGGTGGAGGAGAAGGAACTCTGAGGTGATTGACTTCAGCGACCCAGGGAGGCAGGGTGCCGAAAGGGGAGAGGACCCACCGCCTGTGCCCAGGGGACTTTGCCAGTGCCAGCTCCCCGCTGCAGAAGGTGGTTTGAGACTTGGTTGCTGGGGGGCAAAGGCGGGGGAGAGAACTCTGGGGTGAGAGACTTCACCAAACCAGGAAGGCAGGGTGCAGAAAGAGGAAAAGACCCATAGCCTAAGGGCAGTCGCCAATTTCCCTCTGAGAGTGGCTGGATGGTTGGTCACTAAATGGCCAGGGGAGAGCAGGTTTCCTTTTGGGATGAGCAGAATAGTCAAACCCCACCGTCAGCGGGCAGAGAAAACAGCCGCTTGCAGAACCTATAGAAGGGGTGGGTGACTCCGCTGCTTGACTTGCCAAGGAAACAGGCAACCCCGGAGTCAAATCAAAAATGTGTTGTGAAAGCAAAAGAATTCAAGCCCAGTTTCCCACCCCTCACAGGGAAGAGAGAAAAAGCAGGCAGCAACCAGGCATTGCAGCAGAGAAACGCAGAAAGGGGGAAAACGGGGGGAAATGGTGAGAAAAGGGAAGGGGAGGATGTTTTTCATCAGGTGATTGGAATTGACGCCAGGAGATCCAGCTGGTTTCTCCACTCACCCACCAAGCGACCCTAGTAATTTTTTTCCCCACACCAGGCACACCACGAGATTTTTTCTGTGTGTAAAAGGAGCACTACACTGCAAGAGCCCCCAACGCAAAATAAAGGGTGGTCATGCACCGCCTGGGAATATACACACACAACCTTCCCATTCTGAGGGAGAAGGATGGATGTCTCTGATTGGAAACTGGAGATGCCTGTCAACCCTGGGTGCCCAGCATTGGTCCCTTGACGGCCAAAAAATCCCAACCACACCCGCTTTTCTGCGCAAAATGGAGGTGGTGGGGTTTCTCTGGTGAAAGTACCCAAACGCTTCCGAGCTGAACATGGGAAGATTGGGTGCTTGAACGTCCAGATATGTGACCTTGGAGCCGGTCCATCCGAGCCCCCCAAAAGGCAGTGTTCGGCCCAGATTTTGGCTCGGGGTTCGTGTCTGTGCCCATCCCTAGCTGACAACTCCTCCAAGCTCTGAGACGCCCTCTAGCAAAAGAGTGCTATTGGGAGACCATCTCCTGATAATTAGGTTCCATGAAGGAAACATTTGCAACCACTAAAAATATTAACATTATTTCCCCATAAGTCCACCAGACATGCCACAGAGATAGATGCATCATGTAATCAGATAGCAAACCCACTACTTTTTCATAAAGGATACTAGTTGGCCTTAAAGGAAGAAAATACACTATTATCTGACATCACTCATAGAGCACCTAATTTTTCTAAATAGAGATTTTAAAAAATATTTTTAAATCGACATCAATCTAATACATTTTTTTCTATTGGACAGTTCATTTTTTCTGGACTCCTTTCAGTGGTACTTGAGAAACAACTATTCACCCACAAGGTAAGAGATATATTTATACAACATTTACCCTCCTTTATAAAACTGCAGTCAACAAGCAAATTTCCTTAGTGTGTGTTTATTTGACTTCTACCCTATCTTTTAATCCACAAGGACCCATGAAGACAGTCTATGTAAAATGGCCAGGTGAATTAGAATATTGTTGTACCAAATTGTTAGATTATCTGAAATTTAAAATTATCTGTTAGGATAGATCAGGACTGTTGAGATTGCCTAGGACTACCAGTACTGGGAGAACATCCCAACTGCCAGACAGCCTATTAGTAGTCTGTGGCTTAGTGAAGACCATTAACTGGCGATGGCTGGGCAGGGGATACCAGGGTTCCTGGGGAGGGGAAAGTATAGGGGTGGTTCCAAGCATGAATGGAAGGGGATGGAGAAGCAGAAGAGCTCGGTCCCCTTCCAGCCTGCATCCCTTCCTGAAAGGTAGTAGGTAGTGGGGCTAGGATTAGCGATCCCTCTCCGACATTGGTGTTGTGCAATTCCAGGTCCATAAATAATAAGACCATGGTCCTTTATGACTTCCTGTCAGAGCAGGACATGGACCTGGTGTGCATGACCGAGACCTGGGTATGAGATGGGGAGACGGTAGCTCTCTCCCAGCTGGCTCCTCCCGGGTTCTCGGTCCTTCATCAATCCCGGACTAAGGGGAGGGGGGAAGGAGTGGCTATGTTCATTTGGGAGGCTTACACTGGGCCGGGCCAAGGTTTTTTTGTGCCCTAGGTAAGCCACCTTCTGGTGCCCCCCACGCATGCCCAATTATGGGGTTGCCAACCTCCAGGCGGGGCCTGGAGAGAAGGAAGTCCCCAATCCGCTGCAGCCCGGGGATGCCGTGCCTCTGCTGGCGGGGGGCCAGCCCAAGTGCCCATCCAGGCGGCTCGTAGGGAGCCACTGGGACTGTCCTTACCTGGGTCCAGAGAGGCTGGGGGGGTGGGGTGGGCATGCTCCCTGAGTGGCGCCAGGCTTCCCCCCACTCCACCTTCCCTACCCCAAAAGCCACGCCAGGGGAGCCGCCACTGGCCACCAGTGGGGTCACCTCCAAAGTGGGCAAAGAAGCACTCCAGCCTCTCCCCAGAGCCCCGAAGGCATCCTGACCAAAGGAAACGAGGCCAGCATAACTCCGTGCAACTGGATCCTCCTCCTCCTCCCCCAACGGCCGATCAACAGGCCTGGGCAACCATGCGCACTGCTCCCTTCCCCATGGCACCTGATGTCCAGGGTCAAGGCGGGCCAGGAGGTGGAGAGCAGGGCGGGCGGAGGGGTGGCGCGTTGGTGGGGGAGGGCAGCCGGGTGGATTGGGGCTGCCGGCGGTGGACCAGTCGTTGTCGTCTCACCGGGGGTCTGCTGAACTGGCTCTTCAGGGGAGGCTCTTCCCCCCCTATGCCCGAGGAGACCAGCCCCGGGGGGGCTACTGAGGAGGCTGGCAGGGAGTCAGACCAGGGCATGGGGGGGCCAGTCCTTCCCGGCACCTGCTGGCTGGTGGGGATGGCCGGGGCCAGAACACGCCCCATCCAGGGCCCACCGTCCCATCCAGGGGCCCGCCGCCCCATCCAGGGCCCGGCGCTCTAGGCTAATGCCTAGTTTGTCTAGCAGGTGAGCTGGCCCTGGGCTTACACCTTCAGGGATCTCCTGCCACCAAGGCTCTCAGGCATAGAGAGCACCGGCTTTGTGTGGGAAGCCAGGGAGAGTTTGGCTATTTGGTTGGTGTACTGTCTGCCCAACGCACCAAGAAATAGCCTGTCATCCATTTTGGAGGCCATATCAGCCTGGGCTTTGGAGCACCCTAGATTGATAGCCCTGGGCGATTTCAATGTCCGTGCCGATGATGCAGCTTCCACACAGGCAATGGACCTGGTGTCATCCATGGTGGTTCTAGGACTCTCCCAATATGTAATGGCTCCCACTCACTGCGTGGGGCACATGCTTTATCTGATCTATGTGGCGGGGGTCACAGTGGACCGAATCACTGCTATGGCAGTTCCATGGTTGGACCACTATGCCCTGAAGGCCTGCGTGAATGTTCCACCCCAATCCTGTATGGGCGGCGAACGTATTTTAGCTTGCCCTCAGAGCCAAATGAACCCCATGCAGCTTCAGATGGCCCTGCGGGATCCGATGCCCCCTGGTGGCTCGTTAGATGACCTTGTTGAGGATTGGCACAGCCGACTCTTGGCAGCCATCAACAAGATTGCTCCCTGACGACCTCTGCACCCTCGCTCTAGGCTTGCTCCATGGTATACACAGGAGCTGCGGCTGATGAAGCGAGGGCTCAGACGGCTAGAGAGACAGTGGCAGCATTCTCATGATGAAGCTACAAGAGCATCCTATAGGATGTTTATGAGATCCTATGAGATGGCAGTCAAAGCCTCTAAAAGAGAATACTACACGGCCACAATTGCATCTGTGAGCTCTAGCCCAGCCCAATTATTTAGAACGATTCAGTCTATTGCTACTCTGCCACGGGGCAGACCAAACGCTAAGGAACTGGAGATTGGCTGTGAGGCTTTTGCAAGCTATTTTGCAGATAAAGTCTTGTCGCTCCTCCGCAACCTTCTTGCCACAGTTGAGACAGTAAGGGAACTCGAGGCTTCATGCACACCTTCTTGTCAAGTTTTGGATTATTTTAGTCCACTCAGCCTAGAGGAGGTTAACAAATTACTCTTACCTGTTTGCCCAACCTCTTGCAGCCTTGATCCGTGCCCATCATGGCTAATTAAAGCTGGCCGTGATGGGTTATGAGGTACCCTAATGGAAATTATCAACGTCCCTCTCTGAGGGGCTGTTCCCTGGGGCACACGTAGAGGCAGAGTTACACCCTCT